AGGACCCATGAGCAAAGGAATGCAGGGAATGCAGTTCTAGAAACTATAGAAGGCAAGGGATTTTCCCTCAGAGCCTCCAAGAGGGGTGCAGCCTTGTCAACACCTTAAGTTCAGCACGATAACAGATTTTTGACCTCCAGAATTGTAAGAAAATGAATGTGTGTCAAGTGGGAAGTTGTTTATAGCAGCCACAGGGAACGAATGCACCGTATTTTGATTTTTAAATAGAATGGGCCCCATGTATTTGAAATATTTTCATCTTTTTTTTTTTTTTATGAAGAACCTTTCAGAAAACAATAATTCCTTTAGAACATTACATTCAGTTTTGCTAATGAGAGGCTGGAAGCCTAGTAATGGAACTTAAAAAAATTTGCAATGCCCCTTTCCAGGAAATTTTTTAGTTAATGTGGGTCACTGACTTCGCTTTTTTTAAGATTCTTTGCTCATTTGGCATAATATACCTTGGTGTCCTTTGTTCACAAAAAAATATTAGGGAGAATTCTTGAGTGTCCTTGACTATATCTCCTAGTGATCTTTTAGCACTGAGGGTCGGGCTACAAAAAAGCAAATTTATTCCTTTTGCAGATTTCATCTTTTTCTCTTCATTATAGGAGCTCTGGACTAGCTGCTTATTTCTGGTATCTGTGTGAAAGTGTAGGTCTGGAAAAATGCCACTCTGCCCCATACAAAGGTGAAACAGATGAAAGGTTATCAAAGAATAAATCTGTATACTCACTACAGTCATTTTTGTGTTTACCATGTAAAACAGAATATTACTGCTCTTTCCCCAGCACCTTCCCTATAGGAATTTATATTCAAAACCTCTTATTTCAATTAGATTTCACAAAAGACCTATGGATTCAGCTACTTTCCTTTTCAAATTTCACTCTCAAGAGAGTGCACCTAATGATAGTGGATTGGCATGGTGAATATTTGAGAGAGGTTCTTAGGCTCATGACCCACTTCTGCCACTGCTCAGATTTCTGAATGCTGCTTGGATCTCAGCCAAGGCACCTTGAAGCCAGTTTCCACTTAGCTGTGGTGATTTCAGGGCCCCACGGCACTGGCCCATCTCAGCAAAGCTAGTAACTTTCCAGAGAATATACTCAGAGAAAGCAAATGTAAAGATGCTTTCTGGGTTTATTGAAAATGACTTTAGAACAAGATGCCACTTTGTTCTCTGTGGCAAGTGTTCGTGGTATAAAAACACTGCTCTAGGCAGTCTCCCAGATTGGATCAGGAGCTGCTTATTGTAATTCAGAAATTAATGATTGAAAATGCTTTAAAGCTCTTTTCTCAGGAGTATGTAGGCTGTCACTTGAACACTTGCTAACAATGGAATGGAATTTTTGTCATATTTAAAACTAAAGATGCTGCTTTATAACTCTAATACACTTGGATGCTGTGTTTATTGCAATTTGCTGTTGATTGTTGATTATCAATAAATTGATAAACAATCACTGACTAAACAGAGAGGATGTTACGTGCCCTGAGTGTCCATTGAGTCCTTTTCATAATTCATTGTACACGCTTTGAATCTCACTGGAAATCTTAGGAACACTACTTAATAACAGGAAAAGAAGAGGAATATCTTGGATATTCTGTTATATCTTGGATAGTCGGCAGTGTTTGGAAAAAGTTAGGTTACAGGGGCACAGGCTTGTGGTTTAGAGGGAAAGGTACAACTCAGAGAAGAGACTAAGAAAAAATGAAAGAGGATAGAGGCACAAGATCGGAAGAGGTATGAGGGCTCAAGAGAGGTTCAACTTGTGACATAGGATGGGTGGTCATGGACTTAGAAGAGAAAAGGGAGCAGTGAGAATAAGTGTTGGTTTGTTAAATTTGGGGATGGAAGTTGAGGGATGTCACAGTTATTTCAGTGAGTAAGGTACAAGTGAGACCAGAGTTTGAAGGGCAGAAATGTTCATAATAATATTTGTGATTTGTGAATAAGATGAGAGAAAGCCAATTAAATTATTGAAAAAAAAATCGTCGAGTAGGATGAGGGCTGGGGTAAAGTTGCACATCACAAGCCTAGAGCAGAACAATCAGCTAAGCTCCGCTTTCTGAGTTCAGGTATCTGCACCCTTGGGTCTTTGTGCCCAGGTTGCACAAAGTGTAGGAATACAGCACATCTTCCTCTAGTGTCAGTTTTACTTGAAATGTTTGGAGTAAAATTTTAATTCTTAACTACTTTGAAAATAATTTTAATATAGATAAAATGAAAATCAGGGTAAAGGTCTTAGGGTAAATATGAAATTTCAGATAAATTAAGTGCTTGTGGTAAGCAGCTCTTGATGACAACCCCCAACAGTACCAGGGCTCTACAGGGGTCTGTTCATTTTCTTCCACCATTAGAGCAAAGTCTGGAAACGAGTTTGAGATGTGAGGGTGCTGATCTACCCAACAGCCTAGACAATGTGAGCAGGACCAAAGAAACTAGAGGACAGGTTTCTTCCCGGGATGGGCAAGGGCTGTAGGCGGACAAGGTGAGGGATTCCAAGGTGTTTGTGTAGGATGCTATAGGTGGCCTTTCACTCTGTAAGATACAGTGATTCTCATTCCCCTCTGGCCTAGATATTCTAGTATCCCTGTTTGAGAGATTTGGAAACTGAACCTTGGAGAGATAGAATTTTCTGGACACATAGGGGACTGAGTGAGCTTGGAAAGGCTCTGAGGGTTTATGGGACCAAGAGGCAGTGGAGGGATTGCAGGTCTTGATGAAGGCAAAGGCAAGGCCAGTGGGGATCAGGGCCCAGGCAACAGAAAGACAGCAAGGGGAGACACTGTTATTTATTGGTTGTTTGATACAGAAGTCATGGCTTAGAATAACAAAATTCTGTAAGCATCGTTCAAGTATGTCAAATTGGCCTTTTACCTCCATCCAGCTGTTCGGGCTGATTTATCCTCCGCCTGTCCATTCCTCTCTCCCAATGACAGACTCCATAATGAGGCTGATTTTCTCTTCCTCTTTTGCGCACAAGTCACAAGTTCTACAGATTCAAGAAAGTGGAGGAACCTACGTTGAATTCATTCTAAGAAACTCAGTTTTTTTTTTTTTCTTTCCCACTTCTTCTATTTGGAGAAAAGAACAAACTCTAGTAAATTGTATCTTCCTGCTTCTCCTTAATAACATACATATAGGGTGCTCGAGATTTGGGGATGAATAAGAGCTTCTGTTCCTCCCAGTCATACATCATTGAGCTCTCTGTGGTCTATGCTCAGGCTTCTTTGCTACTTTAAAGGACTTTTTCCATGTAAATGTTAAGTGCAAAATTTCAGTCTCTTAGGGTTTTAAAATCATTATTATTGTTGTTCATTTAATACCTATTTCTTGAGCTCAAACTGCATTTTCACCATTGGTTGATTATTTATTTATTTATTTATTTATTTATTTATTTATTTATTTATATTATTTTATAATCCAGGGATTCTCTTTAGCAGCTACCTTGTTTACTTACAATCATTCCTAGACCCATTTGCTTTCTGATAGATGAAAATTCTAAAGTACGAAGTCAAATATAGGAGGAGCTTGCAGTAAGCATGGCTGGTATAGTTTGGAACCTGATGTTTGAGCATGATCCAGGAGCGTGTAGGAGTCAGGCAGAGAATGTGGGGCCCTAGGATGCAGGAGAAATCATTGTGTGCAGCAGAGCTGGAAGGTCACAGAAAAACTCTCACAAATTAGGGAGGTCAAAAATACAATTGTGGGCTGCAAAATGCATTCATGAACCGTATGCCAGACAGGGAGAAATCAACCAGGACAGCTCCATCCCTACCCAGGATTCCCTTCCTCTATCCAACCCATCAGTAGGAACAGCTGTAGATGGAAAATAGTTGTAACAGCTCTAAGCCTCCTAATCTTACGCTCGTCCGACAGTCCAAAAAGACCACCGTGTCTATGTTTGGAATGATTTTTGTCAACAATGTCCCTCTGTAATGATGTAAGTCTGGTAAAGGAAGAGGTGAATGCTAGTTAGTAGACTTGTCTTTCGTGAGGTCAGTAGATTTCTTTATTAAGAATGAGATGCAATCTTGGTGCTTTGTCTGGGAACAAGTATTTCCAGATTCTTTTGATATATTTTGTCTAAACAGCAGAGGCTGATTAGAGTAATGATACTGATTTTCAGATTAGACAAGTTAATTGTTAACCTAATACAGATTGACCAACCTAATAAATGTACATCTGAGTTGACCAAGAGAACCTCATACAAATCCATTTCTGAATCAAAAGAAATTTTGAGATCATATCGTTTTGTTAAAGGCAAATGGACAGCACTGAAAGCATAAATAAGGCCAAGACACGCGAACAATTCATGATTGTATTTTGAATGTCAAGTCGATAAAATTTTAACATTAGTCATTCAGGAGCAATAATGCAGAAATGTCATGAAAAACATCAATGTTGAATGGATAAAGAAGATGTGGTTTATGTATACAATGGAATATTACTCAGCCGTTAGAAATGACAAATAAAAAATAATAATAAAAAATAATAAAAAAAGAGAAATGACAAATACCCACCATTTGCTTCAACGTGGATGGAACTGGAGGGTATTATGCTGAGTGAAGTAAGTCAATCGGAGAAGGACAAACAATGTATGTTCTCATTCATTTGGGGAATATAAATAATAGTGAAAGGGAATAGAAAGGAAGGGAGAAGAAATGGGTAGGAAATATCAAAAAGGGAGACAGAACATAAAGACTCCTAACTCTGGGAAATGAACTAGAGGTGGTGGAAGGGGAGGAGGGCGGGGGGTGGGGGTGAATGGGTGATGGGCACTGAGGGGGGCACTTGATGGGATGAGCACTGGGTGTTATTCTGTATGTTGGCAAATTGAACACCAATAAAAAATAAATTTATTATTAAAAAAAAGAAAAATATCAATGTTGACTTCATAAAGCACCATCTGACAATCATTTCAGGGGATGGTAGCGGTATGATTTCAACAACAAAGCAAAAATAAAACCTAAAGGGTCCTCCTGTCTTCCATTAGACACCTACACGACCAGTCTGAGGATCTTAACGGGGAATTTGGAGCTTTTATCAGAATGACGTTTTCCTTCATGGAGTCTAAGGAATAAGACAAGTGGGTGCCATTATGGCAATTATTGGGATTAAACATCCTCCATAAAGATAGGCAACATTCATTAAACATTTCAGCGTGTGAACTGTGTTTCAAGCCCTGGGACAACTCTGAAAAATCTACCTCTGCTTTTTTAAAATCATTAAATGGAAAGAAGGGGTGTGGGGAGAGACGCAGAGTGAAAATAGCACCGAGGCATATGCAGAGAACAGAGTAGAAAATCAAAAGATTTTTTCCTAGCACCTGGGCAAATGTCTGTTTAGGAGAAATGATTTAGAAACCATGAATATGACATGGCCTGAATATTAGTAGAATTTGCTCTTAAGTCTTTTAACGCGGACCTAAGTGGAAACTAATATTTGAACTTGTGTGTCTAATATTTGAACTTGTATGTATGTATATATATATTTTTTTATTTATAAAAATATATATTTTATTTATAAAAAATATATTTTTTTTACTAAGCAAAATAAAAAACATGTTTTTATTAAAACATGTTTTTATTGAAAGAGAAAACTCCCTGAGAATAGTCTTCACCCGTTGAGGGCTGTTGAGGGCGCCCTGTCTGGGTAATTACTTTCCTTCCTAAGCTGTTTTAACGAGGCTGTGTAACAAATGGTTCTTTGAAAAGGGAATTCACATGGCCCTTGATTTTCTCCTTTCCTTCTGGAGAGGACCACAGGGTGGACTATTTGGGGGAAGCAACCCTTGATTAAAATGGGTAACCGGAAAGGGAAGTCAGGGGTAAGAGAAGTACCACCCAGCCCTTTCAGACCCACCCTGACCACAGCTCCTGCAGCCCAGAGTCTACAACAGTCTCCCAGAATTGTGGCCTCAGGCCTCTTCAATCAATGCCTTCTCAGCTCCTGCCCCACTTTAAAGCAAAAAAGCCATGTATCCCTCCTCCTCACCGAGGGACTGACCTTTAATGTAACAATTTACTCTAAATTTAGACTTCTGCAAACTTTACACTGGAGACCAGAGATTGTGTTATAATAGCAACTATTTAACTTGTGTTAATCTCTGGCCATTCAAAAAGAGAGGTCGCCTCCCTAGAGCCCTTTGTCATCTGAGACACAAAGGGGAAATTTAAATGCGAAGGGCATTTCAACATTTCCACTAAAACAATATTTTAAGGTGAATAGCATTTAGTTACAATGGTCATGCTAAGGAAGAGGAGGAGGAGGAGGAGGAGGAGGAGGAGGAGGAGGAGGAGGAGAAGGAGGTGGACCCCTGCATTCTTGCTCTGAGCCAGATGCTTCAGAAGGTACCTTCAGGGCCCATGATTTTGCATCTTAAAGTTAACCTCATGAGATGTGTTTTAGGGCTTTAATCTATGATGTGGGGACCCTGGGATGGAAGATTAAATCCTTGCTCAAAGTCACGTGGCAAGGGTCAGACTCAGGCCCCCGGTGCACCGACTGTAGATGTCACTGTTTGTTCCTGCTTTTGGTTCTCTGTGGGCTAACAGAAAAGGGAAGTGAGGGTATTGTTGTGATAAATATAGACAAAGTACCTAGAAACAGGAAAAGAGAAAAGTCAAGACACAACAGGAGGAAAGACTCAGGCAAACGTCAAGAGATCACAGAGGAAGGGGGGTACCCACAGAAGGGGCAACAGGTCTCCAGGCCACCTGTGTATGTTCTGGGTTGCTGCTGGGGTGACAGGGAGCCCCGGGTTCAGACCCTAGTGGCTCTCTGACAAGGGTCTGCCTGAGTTTGTTTCCTCCTGGGCGAGGGAGAGGGGTCTCAGGCCCCAGCGGGTGACCCCAGCGTTGTAGCAGGTTCCTTCACCTTCCTCCCTAGCCCAGTTTTCTCATTCATAAGGTGGGGATAAAATCAGTGCTTAGCTCGCAAGGCCACCTGTAAAGTGCCCGGAACACACGTGGTGTGTGTTCAATAGTCCCGTCGTTACAGGAAAAACTGGAGCCTCCCTAACTGATCCTCACTAGGAGGAGTAGATATTCTAATAGTTAAGGACTAAAGTAAGGACTCCAGCAGGATCGTCATTTCTGTACCAAGGTTTAAATCTTGTCTTTTCTTCCTCTCTCCTCCTTCTGTCTCCCTTCCTCCCTCCTTTCTTTCTTTCTTTTTCCTTCCTTCCTTCCTTCCTTCCTTCCTTCCTTCCTTCCTTCCTTCCTTCCTCTTCTTTTTTCTTTCTTTCTTTCTTTCTTTCTTTCTTTCTTTCTTTCTTTCTTTCTTTCTTTCTTTCTTTCTTTCTTCTTTCTTTCTTTCTTTCTTTCTTTCTTTCTTTCTTTCTTTCTTTCTTTCCCTTCCTTTTCTTTCTCCTCTTTCCTTTCTTCTTTCTCTCTCTTCCCTCCCACCTCTTCCGAGACCTTTCTTTTTCCAAGCCCCAAATCAATGTTTGCAGCCTTTCGGAAAATCTGGCTTTACCAGCATTAATTCTAATCTCTCAACATGATTCTTTTTTTTTTTTTTTTTAAGATTGTGTTTATTTATTCATGAGACACACAGAGAGAGAGGCAGAGACACAGGCAGAGGGAGAAGTAGGCTCCATGCAGGGAGCCCGATGTGGGACTCGATCCCGGGTCTCCAGGATCACGTCCTGGGCCAAAGGCAGGCGCTAAACCACTGCACCTCCTAGGGATCCCCCTTTCAACATGATTCTTCCCAAGGCCCTCAGTAAACCACTTTGACGATTTAGCTTCAAAAATTCAGATCAACATCACTAGCTTGCTCCTACCATAGAGCAAATACTGAGGGAAAACAGGGGTCTGAGTTGATTTCTGCAAACCTGTGGTGAATGGACTCACATCTCACATTGGGATCTTTCATTTATATTTTATGTTCTGTATGTTATAGAAGACCTAAATCAGGGGCAACTGAGAAAAAAGAGCTCCCATCAAAGGCAGGAAGCCAAACTAGAGAAGAGGGAAGAAGACTCAGCGAGCTGTAAAATGGACACACAAGCCAGGATGAGAGTAAGTGGGTACACAATGAAACCATAAAAGCTGTCTTTTGTAGGCCTTACAGATGTGCATAGGAAGCACGAGGAGCTTGCTTCCCCCTGGGTGAGAGCAAACTGCAGTAAGCCCTTGAGATATTTCCAAGAATCCAATATTTGGAGGTTGTTGGAACAAAGTGCTATAAGATTTTTCACTGAGTCGTCACTTCTACAACAGGGCAGGTGATGATACAAAGACTGTACAGGGCCGCTCTGGCTCTTGCAGGTTGACTGGCAGTAACTGCCGTGGACCATTCTAGTTGCTCCATACCGAAGGCAGCTTGTTACTATATTCGGGGAAGGTGTGGGGGGTGAAATAGTATTAATTAGAATTGAGAATAACCATTCTGGTCCTTGGGCCTTCTACAGAAACTGTATGCAACAGGTGTAACACACTGTGGGATCCTAGCATGAAATCTGTATCATAAAAATAAAAATCTGCTACGTGCATCTAAGTCAGGCAGAGGCTGGGGGTGGAGGCCTGGAGCAATGGCAGCTCTCCTTCCCTTTGGACCCAAGAGCTCCTCCTAGAATCTTCCGGATTCAGCTAAAATATCAAAGTCATCTTCTTTTAGCTAAAGGTCCATGCTGGGCTTAGAACATGAAAACTAGAATTGTTTTATTGTTTTATCTGACAAAACATTTCTGTTTATTACAATGAAAAATGTTTAGCCTATTAAGACACCAGTCTGAGAGTCTAATGACCGAAAACGTATCTGTCAAAAAATTTAAATCAAGGGACGCCTGGGTGGCTCAGCAGTTGAGCGTCTGCCTTTGGCCCAGGTCATGACCCTGGGGTCCTGGGATCGAGTCCTGCATCGGGCTCCCTGCAGGGGGCCTGCTTCTCCCTCTGCTCATGTCTCTGACTGTATCTCATGAATATATAAGTAAAATCTTTACCAAAACAAATAAATAAATTAAATAAAAACTCAGTTTATGTATAGGGACAACATTGTGTTTTCAGGGGCCTACCTCAATCGGGAGTTTTAATTTTAGGACTAAATGAATTTGTACATTCTTTGGGAGGATTCCCTATGTTCTAATGCTTTTTCAAGTTACCTCATTCCTGATGTCAACTGTATTCCTGATACTTAGGGGGATACCCCCACAGTCCAAATAAAAAACAAACACAAAAACCCTGCAGTACTGGACATAACCACAGGATGGCAGGATGCTAACACTTTTGTCTCCGTTTATCCCTAAATCTGGCTTTATCTTTGGAAGTTCTCTTCACAATCATTTTTGGAGGATGGGATAGAAGAGCGTTTAAAAGACTAGCGTGCTCTCTTCTCTGTCTCTTTCTGTGTGTGTGTGTGTGTGTGTGTGTGTGCATATAATTTTACTTAATTTTATATTTATGTGTGTGTGTGATAAGTGGATAAATGTGGCATCAATCAAATATTTCACTTGCAGGGGTCAACATAAACCAGAATTATATTTTTCCTAAAATATTTGTGCATTTCTGGACCAAACAGACTTTCATTCTGAAACTCGAACTACTGGCTTATTATTGCAAATCGTTAGTGTGTCAGTTAATTAGTGGAGGGTATAACTCCATCTCTCAGGTAAGCTAGAAGAAACAATAAACCTATTTCTGGATCCTCCATTTTAGTGTTTCCCTAAGGAAGAGAGTGAGAAATTGCACTATTTTCATTTCCAAGAGGTGAACAGAAAAAATATGACTGATTCTACGCTCCTGAGTGGTTGAGGATCACTATTTGGATTTCAGAAATAAATGTCAGAAATAAGTATTGGGCTTTCTGAGGTTCAGGAATGAAAAAGCTTAGATAAACTTAAATTTAAACGGGACATTAGAATATCCTGGGTAAAACTAGCATTTAAATGGGATAAGTCTTCGGAACCATCTCTTTTACGTCGAGTTAGAATTTTTGTATTTTTCTTAGTTTTTATACTTAGCACTAATTAAATAATTCGGTAATCATAATTATGATTAAATACTTGAAAAAAGATGGTTTAGTTTAGGGGAAAAAATTGGAATTAAATATTAGAGTGCAAAGACCTAAATTACAAGGATGCGGTAACATTATAAGACTTTCTTTTTGTCGATGAATTTCCCAAAGTTAAACTTTGAAGTTTTATTTTGAATTTGATAGCTTCCATTTAGTGGTCTTTCTTTACATAAATAAATGTCAGCTATTTAAATAATTAGCTTTCTCTCTGAAAGATACACTAACTAACGTGAATCTAACTTTTTTCTTTAATCTAACTTTTCTTTTTTTGATAGGCTTTTAAGTCAGGGAGATTAAAGTGTATTATTACTTTTATAACTCTTCCCAAAAATATTCCCCAAAGCTACCAAACAGAGGCAACAACAACAAAAAAGTTTATTAAATTCATGTGAATGAATGAAATCTTGCAAAAACTAGTTAGAAGGTGTATATTTTTACACTTAGTGTACATTTATATTTATGTAATTAGAGTAAATATATAATTTGATAGCGTCATATGGGTTATAATATACATGTATGTATAATATACGTATATATGTATGTATAATATGTATATCATGTACATACATATAATATATATATTGAGTGTTGGAAATTTGTCATTTAGTGAATCTGAAGTTTTCTGGTTATGTCTTTTCATATAGCAAAGATAATATATATTTCACTCATTTATTCACTTTAAAAAGGAAATATCTAAAGGAGAAAATTGACTGCTGGATATGTTTATGTAGCCTTTTAAAGACATTACTCTTTAAAAACGAAATGCTCAAAAAAATATAATTAAGAAAAAAACCAAAATGCTCAAAAAATAAAATTAAGAAAAAAAAACCAACAAAATGCTCTTTTATAATAACGAATGAGTTTTGAATCTGGAGTCCGTTTCATTTTCTCACCCTTATCACATGACTGGCATTATGTATGATTTGCAATGATTTAAAAATATGAAATGCTTTTCATATTTCCTGATTCTTCCTCTTGAGTGTGAGCATTTTCTGTGTTTATCTTAGGATACAGAGCGACTTCATCAAAGTGGGGAAGAGTGAATGTATCTACCTGTTATGCACCCTCAGGTACCTTATAATTGTTCCATCAATCACTCCATGCTACAAAATCATATTTTTGCCTCTGTGGTCTCTCTGTCTCCCTTAAGTAATTGTAAGCTCCATAGGACAAGACCGGATCTGTTTTGTTCACCATTGTACCCTCAGTACCTGGAACGTAATAAATGTCCTTCTGGCTATTTGTTGAGTAAATGGCTTGAGACCAGTTAGTGCTGCCTGAGACTGATAGGGTATAATATGATCAGGACCTAGGGATCTAGGCAGCCCTCCCTCGCTGTCTGTTCCCTACCTTACTCTGACTCCGTTCAAAAATCTCTTCCAGGTACATCCTTCCATTAGAAGAGTAAGGTGGGTTATTGGTATTTTCACGGGGCAAGAAAAGTATTCTCTGGAAAAGGAAAATCACTTCATCAGTCCAACTCAGTGCCCATGGTTTGATAACAGCTTGAGGTCCTCAGCCTTTTCCTTGGAGGAGACATGAGGGATAGGAGAAAAGCGGAAGGAGAAATAAGGAGAAGGTATATGCTCCTGCTTTCAACCTTGTCTATTGTATTTCCCTTCCCAGTGGGCTCACTGGAATGAATGCCTGACTGTGGGCGCACCCTCGTGCCCTCTCTTTGTTTCACATTCCACGTTCAATCCAGCAGCACATTCTACGGGCACCTCCAATGTCTCTCACTTAAATTACTGTGATAACCTCTTGATTGATCCTTCTGACTCTGTCATTGGTCCTTTTGCTCTATTCTCAACACACTGGTCAGAATGATGCTTCAAACCAAGAACAGATCATGTCAGTTCTCTGCTCAAAAACTTCCACTGGTTAAAAAAAAAAAAACAAAAACAAAAAACAAACACTTCCAAAACCCAACCAACCAAACAAAAAAACCCCTTCCATTGGCTTCTCATTTTACGTGAAAAGCCAAAGTCCTTAAAATTGCTTAAAAGATCTGGCCCCCTGTTTCTCTTTCCTTACTGTCTTATCACTCTCCCCATCAGATAATACACTTCAGCCACACAGGGCTTCTTATCGTTCTTGAACCCACAGGACTCAGTCTTGTCTCAGGGCCTTTGCACTGCCTAGGCTTTCAGCCAGAAATCATTTTCTCCCAAGATATCCTCATTACCTTACCTCTCTGAAGTCCTTGCCCAAGTATTTCACTCCAGTGAGAGTTTTTCTGCACACTGCCCTTAAAATCACCACCCTCCACCCCTCCCGCCCCCAACAATCCCAATCTTCTTCCCACACTTGATTTCAAAAAATGAAATTCTTTGAGCATTTCGGTTGTTTTCTTAATTTTATTTTTTTTGAGCATTTCGTTTTTAAAGAGTAATGTCTTTAAAAGGCTACATAAACATATCCAGCAGCCAATTTTCTCCCTTAGATATTTCCTTTTTAAAATGAATAAATGAGTGAAATGGAAGAAGATGGGCATGTAATACCATCTGATGGTTTCTTGTCTGTTCACTATCTGCCTTGGAATTTTAACAAGTGAGTCCACTCACCAACCGAGTACTATAGGTGCTTGCCAAGGTCCCTGGGGTAAGAGATTTTGTTTGCCCTTGTCACTGCTATATCATTATCTATTAGAGTACATGGCACACTTAAGTACTCAGTAAACATTGTTGAATGAATTACTCACTGAAGGACAAATTCAAATCCTCTGGTAAATCTTCATGTATCACTGACTCTGCAGAAGCCTTGGTAGGAAGACTTTAATTTCTGCTGTGGTCAATATTTCGAAGGTTAAAAAGAAAGGTGCTTGCTGCATGAATTTTACTCTCCTTTTGCTCCAGGTGTGCTTCCCCTGTCCTCCCTAAGTTCTGTGGGGTGGGGTGCTGCAGGTCATGAAGGTGGGGGCATCAGCAGGAACCTGGGAATTTGTCCCAGGATTTCAGAAGGGAGATTTGGGAGCCACGTGCTTTATACCAAATGAAAAGTAACAATATAAGACAGAATGAGCATACAGCTTGGGCGTCAGAGGAGAGGCAGCATTTCTGGCTGGTGTGGGAACATTAACTCTGGGGGAATGAGACAAATTTGTTAGCAGAGAACAGGAAAAGAGAGTTCTCACGAATGTGGATGTTGGGAATGAATGGTGTGAGTCACAGGCTGCGTCAGGAAAGCACACGGTATTTTGAGGGGTAGAGAGCAAATATTTGTTGTCACGTAACCCTACATGCATAGTGCAGAGAAAAGGGTTCCTTGTCCTTGTTTTGCTAAGTCTCCCAAGAAGCATCACGAGTTGGATAGAACTCTCAGGATTCTCGTTTGGGAATCAGGAGAGGCAAGTGTGTGTTCTAGTCCTTAAAAGAGACACAGAAGACACCAGGATCAGGTCCTGGAGAATTTCTGACTCTTTTTTTTTTTTTTTTTTAATTTCTGACTCTTTTAAATGTACACGTGCAGGTTCTCCAAATAAGCTTGACTTGGAATCTCAAGAAAGGAGCCCACTTGCTAACCAAGTACTATAGATACGAGTGATTCAGACAGGAAATCTAGGTGAGGAAGGTAAATTAGCAGCCAAAGAATTGACCCAGGCCTACACGGACACTGTCGTCCTCCAACAGGATCACGTATGGTCGGTGTTTGACAGAGAACCCGTGATGCCATGATGCCTGTGATTGGAAGATTTACCTTCGGGGGGAACAAGAAACTCACCTATGTTTCTTGTTCAGACAGGAAGCATCACAGCTAGTTCAGGCCCGGGGAAATCAAAGGGATGTTCGGGAGGAAGGAAAGGGTGGCAACATTAGCAACTGACCCTTCGAAACACTACCTAGGGTCACCTCATGGTTTGTCACTTCATCAACAGAAACAGCTGGATTCTTTCTTATTTGGTTGAGGCACATGGCCTAGAGAGCAAAGGAAAGCCCTGAACATCCAGGGGTGCATGGGATGTGCAGAAGAAGGTAAAACCGCCAGTGACCAGGCAAGCAAAGACAAATGGAAACACCACTCCACGACTCAACCACCCTGGATCCCACTCTACATGACAGGGATTAGATCATCAGGTTCACACGGGCCTCCTTAATTTTTCATAGCTTCCTGGAGCACAAAACAGAAGAAATAAGGATCTCAGCCACGCGGGTGGGAAAGAGCATAGGCCACGTGTAGTATCTGCGTGGAAAGAGAGGAGAGGGAAGGGTGATGCCTTCGCCAACCTTAGTGGAGCTTTGTTGTCATGAATGAATTTGAAGCCCGATTTGCCAAGTTCTTTTATTTTTTAAGTGTTGTATGTGGACAACTTTATTTCCTCAGACATCTTTCTGCTCCTTGTGCATTAAATCCTAAAGCCTCAGCAAAGTCGGTAAGTCCAACGTGCTTGCTTTTCCCCTCTGAACTGGTAAGGTCAAAGAGATGTGAAGCTCTGTAAAAACATCCTAGGTGAGAGAGGGGGTTTTGTGCAGAGAGCTCAGTGAGGTAATGCATGCGTTTTTCTTTCGGCACCCAAGGAAAACCCACTCTTGGGTGGGGGCTGCTGTGAGCATAGGCCTCAAAACTGTGATGTACCAACGGGCCAACGCGGGATAGAACCTTCAGCACCAGCCCTGGATGTGCTGATCCTCTCGTTTCGCAGACTCTGCTGGGAAGGTCCCCATATGGAGATCTTCTCTTAAGTCCTCCTAGTTTAGAAGTTTCTCCTCAGACCCCGCTATCCTTTTGGTATTTCCCCTTCACTTCCTCACTCCATGCTCCAGGTACCAGGGCTCTCATGGGGCCTCCAGGTTACCTACGTGTACTGAATATTCCATCACTGCCCTCGGGGCTCCCCACAGCGTGCCTTGTCCAATCTACTCCTATGCTTACTGGGATCCTCTTCTTGAACCATCCACAAAAAGAGACACCTGACCAACATATTCACTCTGGGGCATTAGCAACTGAAAACAACTAAAAGCGTTATCACCTTCATTCTAACACGTAAACCAAGGGTTGGACCATGCCTGGCCCAAATGTCAAGTGATGGAAAGAGGGATATTTGGTTTGAGAGTGTGCTGGCAAGGCCTCTGGGGATGCATAAAACCAGCCCTTCCTACAGTTTGCACTGATGGTTTGGGATCTTAAGTTCTTACAGACAAACTGAAGAGCAAAATGTCCTGTTTTTTTTTTTTTTCTTTCTTAGAATGATGTGTCAACATAAGTTGGAAGCAGAAACAAGACCTCTTTAATGTTTCTTATTTTCCTTTTTTATATTTTCCTTTGCGGTATAGCAGGACACTTTTATAAACTACTGGGACATAAATTATAAAGCTTTCCCTTCTGTCTTGGTTTCCTCACTACAGAAAAATCTTCAAAACGTTTTAGAAGAAAGGCAAGTTGCCTGTGAAGAAAGAATACAGAAAACTAAAGAACTATAAAGAAACCACATTTGAAGGATGAGAAGAAACTACCAGTGGAAGACATGTGAAGACTGAACTTGGAAAGCAAACAAAAAATAGATGCGAACAACTAGGAAATATAAAAATAAAGAAGTTGGACATTAAGATGCTTCTTTGTAGGGCTGAAATAAAGTGCAATTCTGGATCTTGTGAAAAGAAGTGAAAGGAAGAAAAAGAAAAGGAAGAAAGTCTTTAAGGAAAAAGAGACACCATAATAAAAGCTATGACTATTCCAAATTTTTATTTTGTCCAAAATTCTTTTAACATATGATATCATACTTGACTGGACTTACTGCATCATTTTACATTTCTGCTGAAAATTCAAGCCAGATTAAAACACTCTTCATGAAGAGAAAGCAGCGCTAGGAGACAAGATGATTAGGAGGGAGACAAATTGGAAACAGGCAATAATAAAAACAAAATAATTAAAAAAAAAAGATACCATAATGACAAAGGTGGGTTTGTAAACTCTGAGAGGAAGCCCTGGGTAGTGGCTAACATGTTTGCAGCTCGATAGATCTGGATTTTCATTTTGACTCCGGAGCTTTGATGGCAGTGTGGGTGGACCTTGGCCTATTTTCTTGATCTCATCGGTCTTATTCAGCTCCAAGCCCTTGTGCCTACAACAGGGCCCGGCACACAGAAGGAAAACAATTAATGTTTTTTTTTTAATATTTTATTTATTTATTCATGAGAGACAGAGAGACAGAGACAGAGACATAGGCAGAGGGAGAAGCAGGCTCCATGCAGGAAGCCTGATGTGGGACTCAATCCCAGAGTCCTGGGACTATGCCCTGAGCCAAAGGCAGACGCTCTACCACTGAGCCACCAAAGCGTCCCAACAATTAATGTTTGTTGAATGAATGAACAAAAGACTTCTTCCACATGAATAATGCTTATCTAACAGGGTTGTGGTAAGAATCAAGTATCCTTTAGTTTATTATTAGAATATTGTCTGTACTGAAAGTAGAAATATTGTATTGAAAGTCTGTATTCTGGGGAATGTGGAATTTCACATGCAAGGGCCAGTTGGGCCCAAGCTCTTGACACATGATTTCGGATCCAAAGTTGCACACAGGTAGATGTGGTTCCAGAGCTTCTGCTGTGTCGTCACCTTACAGATGGCTCATCTGCGCCCCACTACCTCTAACGTCCCTGTGCTCTACATTATTATGTGCTTGCCCCACAAGACGGTATACAGATAAATAGCATACAGTTCTATACACCGTGCATGTATTAGGCAAACATAGTAAATGTTTGGTAAATGATTACTAAATGAATAAATGGGAGGAAGCTGGCAGAGAGGGTAAGAGAGCTGTTAGGCACCATTGCCACGAGTCCCCTTGTGACTCCTACAACCCTCAGTGGCACATCATTTTGTGCCAGATTCGCTCAGTGGAGATGTTGTAGATTGCCAGTCCCTGGGTTCCTCAGTGTGCCCCTCCACACTCAGAGCGCGCTTCCAATTAATGCCTAAGACCCCAGTTCCCTTGTATCTAGTTATCATCTCCTGAGATAAAACCAACGAAGAGGAGATTGTGGACACTGCTGCCATGAACATTGGGGTGCGTGTGCCCCTTTGAATCCCTATGCTTGTCTCCTTGGATAAATACCTAGCAGTGCAATTCCTGGGTCATCGGGTAGTTCTATTTTTAATATTCATCGTTGGATTAAAAACTTGCTCTATTTCCAGAGAGGTGGGAAAACAATTTTCAAAGTTGAAAATTCAACATCTTTTCAAGATTTATCCATGATGAATAACTGTGAGTAACCGGTTGTAACAAAACAAGTACAAAAGACAACAAGTATAGTGAATGTTTAGCGCTGACTTGGCAACTGACATCGTGCCTGATGTTTGAATGTATCTTACAGATTCAGATGATTGAAATATTTTTACTTCCTACTTAAAGTTGAGCTGAGCAATATCTATTTAAAATTTACATATTCTACTCAGAGACTCTGCCTTTTCAGCAGTGGTTGACATGATAAATGCTAATGTTTAGTTTAAAATTTTAAGACTATCAAAATTTGAAGTTATAAAAATTATGAGAAAATGTTTGTGCAAGAATTTTAGTATATCTTATTGGACAAACTTTATCCTCTCAATATAAATTTTAATAGACTGGCATAGAAGTTTTTGAGGAGGGCAGCTTGGGTGGCTCAGCGGTTTAGTGCTGCCTTCAGCCCAGGGTGTGATCCTGGAGACCTGGGATCGAGTCCCACGTCGGGCTCCCTGCATGGAGCCTGCTTCTCCCTCTGCCTATGTCTCTGCCTCTCTCTCTACGTCTCTCATGAATAAATAAATAAAATCTTAAGAAAAAAGGAAGTTTTTGAGGAATAAACTTCCATCTATTGAAGACTTCCATGGTGTGATCTGCAGTGGACACTTCACACACATTGTACCCTTTCCTCTTTCCCCCAAATTCTCACTTATGGGTGAAGAAAATAGAAGCCCGATGCGGGACTCGATCCCAGGTCTCCAGGATCACACCCTGGGCTGAAGGCGGTGCTAAACCGCTGAGCCACCTGGGCTGCCCTCTGAGGATTTCTTTGACTATTTGGTGTCATTTGTGGTTCCATATAAATCTTAGAGGAGTGTTTTTTCTACTTCTGTAAAAAATGCTGTTAGTCTTGATCGTGATTGCATTGAATATACAGATGCCTTTTGATAGTATTGACATCTTAACAATATTAATTCTTCTAATCCATGAATACAGGATATTTCTATTTATTTGTATATTTTTGAACATTTTTCATCAATGTCTTATAGTTTTCAGAGATCTTTCACCTCCTTAGTTATATTAATTTCTATGTATTTTATTGTTGCTATTGCAAATGGGATAGATGTCTTCACTTCTTTTTCAGAAAATTCACTGATTATGCATGGACATGTTACTGATTTTTGAATGCTCTTTTATATCCTGCAGCTTCACTGAATTCACTGACTAGATCTAACTTTATTTATTTATCTATCTATCATCTATCATCTATCTATCTTAAGTAGGCTCCATGACCAGTGGTTAGTCCAACACAGGGCTTGAACTCATGACCCTGAGATCAAGAACTGAGTTGAGGGGCACCTGGGTGGGTCAGTGGGTTAAGCATCCTATTCTCAGTTTCAGCTCCAGCTCAGGTAATGATCTCATGGATCCTGGGATCAAGCTCTGCATCAGGCTCTGTGCTCAGCAGGGAATTTGCTTGAAATATTCTCTCCTTCTACTCCTCCCCTTACCTGTGTGTGGTCTCTCTCTCTCTCTTTCTCTCTCTTTTTTTTAAAATATTTATTTATTTATTTATGATAGACATAGAGAGAGAGGCAGAGACACAAGAGGAGGGAGAAGCAGGCTCCATGCTGGGAGCCCGACATGGGACTGGACCCCGGGACTCCAGGATCGCGCCCTGGGCCAAAGGCAGGCGCTAAACTGCTGAGCCACCCAGGGATCCCGTCTCTCTTTCTCTTAAATAAATAACTCCTAAAAAAAAAAAAAACTGAGCTGAGATCGAGTCAGACGCTTAACTGACTGAACCAGGTGTCCCTAACAGATTTTTTTTAATTAAGATTTTATTTTTAAGTAATCTCTACACCCACTGTGGACCTCGAACACACAACCCTGAGATCAAGAGTTGCACATTCCAACGACTGAGCCAGCCAGGTGCCCCAGATCTAACAGTTTTTTGAGTAAGTCTCATCTGCAAAACAGAGACAATTTTACTTCTTCTGTTTGAGTTCTGATATCTTTTATTTCTTTTTCTTGACTGCTCTAGTTAGGACTTCTAGTATAATGTTGATAAAAGTGGTGAGAGTGAACACCTTGTCTTGTTCCTGGTCTTAGAGGAAGAGCTTTCATCCTTTCACCATTGAGTATGACATTAGCTGTGGGTTTGTCATATATGGCCTTTATTATGTTGAGATATAGTTTTCCATGCCTAATTTGTTGAGTCTTTATCATGAATTGGGTGTTAAATTTTGCCAAATGTTTTCTCTGCATCTATTGAGATGATCATATGATTCATTTCTTTCATTGTATAAATGTGACATATCATATTGATTGATTTGTCTATGTTGAACCATCTTGGCTTTGATAAATCCCACAGGATCATGGTGAATGATCATTTTAATGTGCTGCTGAATTTGTTTTGCTAGGTTTTTACTGAGAATTTTTGTATCTATATTTATTAGAGAAATTGGCCTGCAGCTTTCTTTTCTAGTAGTTTCCTTTCCTGGTTTTGGCATCAGGACAATGCTGGCCTTGTAAAATAATTTTGGGAGTGTGTTCCTACCTTTTTGATTTTTTGGAAGAGTTTGAGAGGGATTGGTATTAATTAGTCTTTAAGAATTTGGTAAAATTCACCTATGAGGCCATTTGGTCCTGGGCTTTTCTTTTTTGGGAGATTTTTGATTACAGATTCAGTCTTCTTACTAGTAATTGGTCTATTCAGATTTTCTATTTTTTCCTGGTTCAGTCTTGGTAAGTTGTATGTTTCTAAGAATCGTTCCATTTCTTCCAGGTTGGCCAGGTTATTAGTGTATTGCTAAAGTGTACACCATTCAAGTAGTCTCTTATGATCCTTTAAATTTTTGTACTATCTGTGGTAATGTCTCCTTTCTCAAATATAATTGCGTTGATTTAGATCCTTTCTCTTTTTCTTTGCCTAGTCTAGCTAAGTGTAATTTTGCTTATCTTTTCAAGAGCAAACTCTTAGTTTGGTTAATTTTTTTTCTATTATTTTTCTGTTCTCTCATTTATTTCTGGTACTATTTCCTTTATACTGCTAACTTTGGGCTTAGTTTGTTCTTCTTCTAGTTCCTTAAGGCATGGAGTTAAATTGTATATTTGTGAGATTCCTTGCTTTTAACATAGGCATTTATTGCTATAAACCTCCCCCTTAGAACTTCTTTTGCTTCATCTCACAAGTTCTGGTATGTTGTGTTTCCAATTTCATTTGCCTCAAGAAATTTTTAAATTTGTCTTTAATTTCTTCTTTGATCTTTTAGTTGTTTAGGAGTGTGTTAAAATTCCATATGTGAAATTTCTAGTTTTCCTCTTGTTATTGATTTCTAGTTTCACATCATTATTGTCAGAAAAGATATTCAGTATGATTTCAGTTTTCTTGAATTTGCTAACACTTGTTTTATGGCCAAATACATGGTCTATCCTAGAAAATATTTCACGTATGCTTGAGAAGAATGTGAATTTTGTTGATGTTGGGCAGAATGTTCTGCATAGGTC